CACGCTAGTCAAAGACAGAGAGAGATAAGGTTCATTCGAGAAATTCTAAGTTGATTCCTGCAGGGGTGTGCAGATGGAAAACAGTCAGGTTTTCCCCCTCTGAGCTCTTTCAGAGTTCTGCCCTGACCCCACAAGTAACAGGGCTTTTAATACTAGTATTACAACCATTAAAGGAGATTAGCAGGTTTTCTGTGTGTATATATATAATGTCCTAAGACCCAATGGTCATTAGAAAATTATCTACATCTGCATTTCTCCAGGGGCAATTTGAGCACCATCTCCTGGTTTCAGGATCCCTTGTTCACCTTCCGGAGTCAGGAACTGTCCGTGAGTCAGGAACGTCCACGGAATGTACTGCAAGGGCGAGGAAGGGGTGGTGGTGACTGTCACATTTTGGATTTTTAACAAATGAAGTCTTAAATTGTTTCATTTCTGGTATTTTGATGTTTACCCTCACTCTCAAACTGGCAGCACAGCTCCTCAGAAAGTTAACCATCGAACTACCAGAGAGAGAGCCTCGAGGACTGGAAGCAGGAAAGTCCGAAATGCTCAGAAATATTCACGAAGGCCAAAAGGTGGACATGGCTCCGTGCCCACCAGCAGAATGGACAAAATGTGCCCTGTCTGTAACGGCTGCACTTAGCTGTTCACCTAACGCACACCATGTTTCCCTGACCCTCCTCTTCAGTCTCTGGAATTTTTACAACTTCCAGCAATGCCCAGAGGGAAGCCTACTTCCTGAGCGTGCCAAGAGAACTCTGATAATCATTCCAAAAGCGGATTCCAGCTATCCCTGGGTCTGTCAACAGAGGCATCCTGAGATGGCCCTTGCCTCCTCTTTGTCCTGTCTGCTGGGTCAACAACAGCATCCTGTGATGATCCTGAAACCAGAGGGACAGCCACACAAGGGCCTCTAACTCCCCCACCATGTGAATTCCAAAGTTAAAAGAATATAATCTCCTTAGTTAGGAACTGATGCTTCTGGAAGTTCTGGTACCTGCAACCAGGTGGGGGATCCTTGAAAAATGGCACTGGAAATTACTCAGACACAAAAGGAGACATACTACAGGAGCCTATTTACAGGAAAGGTCTAGAATAGGCAAATGTCTAAAGACAAAAGCGTATTGTGGTCACCAGGAGGTGTGGGTGGGTGGGGGGACAGAGCTTTCTTTTTCAAGACTTACTACATTGGATGATCACTTCTCTGTTCTCAGCCCCACAAGGGGCCCCCAGAGCTAAGGCTTTGGTCCATGCGCTCACCTGCAAGCAGTTCTGTAATTCTAACTACCTGAAATTATTCCGTCATCCTGTAATACCTCCAGGCCCCTCACTTCGAACACTGAGCTCTTCTTCACCAGCCCCAGAAGCAGGAGGCAGCCTCTCTCTTATCTCCCCTCCCTCCATTCCATTCCAGGGCCCGATGCCTCACTACCCTAATTACACGCTCTCCATTTAAAGAGCCTGGGGGCTCCACCACCACCTGCTTCTCTAAGCCAGTCCAAACTGGTCCAAACGGTCCAGTTCTTGCCTGTCCACCCCCTGCCCCTGCCCCTGCCCCCACTTTCTGCTGGAGGAGCAAAAAGTATGCATGCGCCAACCAGAGAGGACAGAGCTCCAAACTCGTAAATACCAGAACAAGCACGGAACCAGACAACTCAACTCCAACATGCCCAGATCCTGCTCGAACTCACGGCCATCGGCCCCCTTCCAACCATCCTCCCATTTCTTTCTTTCTCCATCCTCCACACTTCCAGAAAAAAGCTAACAAAGAAAAAAAAAAATTTTAAAAAAAAAAGCTAACAAAGAGTGTGGTGCTACCCCTCCAAGCTGTCCAATTCATCCCGTTTCTGTAGACTGAATGGCATCAACAAATACGGAGGGCCGTCCCAAATCTCTATTTCAAACCTAACCCAGTGCCCCCCCCTTTCTTTTCTTTTGGATTCCTTGAAAATGTCCCTCAAGCCACAGGATCTTTATAGCACCCACAGTATCGAGGGCGGCGGCCATGGTCCAGTCTGCTGCAAAGACTCTACAAGACACCCTGGAACTGCCCTGTAGTCTTTACCAGAGTCGACTGCCAGCTTTCCGCCCAGAGCTGGGTTCAGACTGCTGGTCTTTGGGGCTGCGGCCAGGCGCTTGGCCGGTGCGCTCCCAACCTTCCTCTTCACAATCCAGAAGACTCACGCACTGCCACGGCTTGGTAGACTCATACTGACCCCATAGGACAACGGTTCTCAGCCTTCCTCATGCCAAGACCCTTGCCTAGTTTCTCATGTTGTGATGACCCCCCCCAACTATAAATTTTCGTTGCTACTTCATCACTGTCATTTGGCTTCCTGTTATGAATTGGGTTGTTCGACACCCTCCCAAAGGGGTCGCGACCCACAGTTGAGAACCGCTTCTCCTATCGTATAGGACAAGGCAGAACTGCCCCTGTGGGTTTCCCAAACTAACGGTTTACAGGAGTATAAAGCCCGTCTTTCTTTCGCAGAGGGGCTGGTTTCGAACCGCTGTAAGTCAGGCAGTGCCTCCTGCAGGCAGGCGGGGTCAGGGTGGCTCCGCAAACTCCCACTGAAGACCTATAGCCACCTCCCGCAGTGTAGTATTAAATTAAAATGGCGAATGGGGGGTTGAGGGAGTGAGGGGCCAGCCCCCACCGCTGCTACTAATACTACCCACGGGTTCGGTAATACTTCTTCTGGGTTCAGTAATGCACAATTGTACGGTTGAGCTATATATGCATTATATTAACGTCATTGAGAGCATGAGATAATACAATAATACAGTCAGACATATTACATGGTAGCATTGCTCACCTCCGCCCCGCTTGGTGGTCCTCGTGGGGGGAACCCGGCTGCCAGAGCAGGAGCCGCCTCCCTCATCCACTTCCCTCATGGGAGCAGCCCTCCTGAGAACCAGGGAGCCTCCTTATTTGTTGCTAACCACGCATCATATCACTTTAGGGGGATCTGATTACAGTCATACATCACAGAAAAGGGGCAATACAATTCATCCTAGAACAAGTTTGATCACTCTGGTGTCTCATACAATAAAACAGACAATTACTATTCTGGGAGGTATGCAAGTCCCCTGATAGCAGACAATAACCTACGTCACAGGGAGGGGTAGCAACATAGGCATTACATTCAAGAGGAGGGGGCTGACCTAGGGTGTGCCCAGAGGAATGGGAAGGTCTAGAGTTACACATGTGACAAGATGGGCGGACCCTAGATTCATAATAGCTACCTAACCTTGGTCATCCTCGGGCGGGTTTGACCTCTCTGGGGTCTCCTACAAGGAAACAGGCTACTATCCTCATCAGAAGGGAGTGGGCCTTATTTGTTGTGGGATAAACAGTTGTGTCTGCTTGATCTGGGCAGCTGATACCTCTCAGGGAGAATGACCCCCAATCCACTCTTGATGACCTCCAAGTGTATAGTCATTCTCACGCAGGTAAGTCTCCATTGGAAAAGCTACGTAGGCCGAGAGATAGACAGTGGTCTGGATGTCCTCGGGCATGGTTACGGTCTAACGGTTCAGGGTGTAACTGCTA